CAGTAGTTGTGACTCGTGGGCTCAGTAGTTGTGGTACATGGGCTTAGTTGCTCTGCGGCATGTAGGATCTTCCCGGGCCAGGGATAGAACCTGTGTCCCCTGCATTGGCAGGCGGGTTCTCCACCACTGTGCCACCAGGGAAGCCCTCCTCAGTACTTTTGAAAGATTATCACTCTCCTCTACCTACAGCAGCTCTGATTAAATGTTTACCTGTCTGGAGATAGTTACTTTTTAAAATTCCAGTTCTTCATTTTTGGGGAGAAAACTCAGGCCTTCATGACAGGTTTGCATTTCTGGAACATTAGATATTGGCAAGGGGTTGGGTGTTATTGTATAAACAGGATCCAATCCTATGTGTGGGTGGGAGGATAATTGGAGGGGAAGTTATCGTAAATAAAAGGGGAAGGTGAGTTCAAGAGGTGCGAAAAATAGAAATCACAAGTATTTACTTCATAACAGTAAATATCTGAGATTTTGCTCCATTTTCCTTTAATAAGGAGATAGGAGAGGTTGGGGTTTGTGACAGACTCAAGTTGATATAAGTAGGCATTTGACTACAATTAGGGGCAGATGTTAGTATAGAAAAGGAAAAGTGGGATGGCTGGCACCATGGATTAGGAGACTGAAACTTGATGGACTTAAAAAAGCACAGAATCTATTTGAAATCGCATGGACAAATTGCCTAAATTTCCTTTCTGTTCATTACAGAAAGATGATCTAATTTGTATGCAAGTTCTTTCTTTTAGAAAATTAATCTTAGAAAAGTATTGTGTAAAATATTTTAAATTGAACAACTGCAAAAGTTGACTCCATATAGTAAGATATTTTTGTATTGCAAGAAGGAGATTTGCAAAGTGATTAGGACTTAAATTAAGGTTTCTTTTCACAGTTTAATTTACTTCTTAAGGGCCTTTGGTCCAGGGGCAGAAGAAATAGACAGCAGCTACAACATATTTTTAGCATGTTTACATATTTATTCGTTGAAGGTATACTATGAGTTATATAGTTTTACTCACTGACCCAGAAAGAGTGAAAAGTTGAAAGAACTGGGTGTGGTGGTAGAGGTGGAATGATTACTGGCTCCTTACCATGTGTGCCTTTAATTTAACATCTTGCCCACCTTGATAAACAGTAGGTATGTTTTATTTTGGAAAACATCTGTCAGCAGTAGAGATGGCTATTTCAAAACAATTTGAACATTTGGGGAAAATTATTACATAGGGAAAAAGTTAACTTGTTTTTTCTTCACAAGTCTCAAAGCAAATATAGGGAGGAAAGTTTACTAATGCGTAAGTAAACTTGCCTAAAAATAGGTTGTGTCAGTCTTGTAAACTACTTCACTTTTCAGAAATAAGAAGTTTACAGTTTGTTTTGAGGTATAACATTAGTTTCAGGTGTACAATGTAGTGACTTGATATTTGTATATATTGCAAAACGGTCACCACGATAAGTCCAGTTAACGTCCATCACCATACATAGTTACATTATATTTTATCTTGTGATGAGAACTTTCAAGATCTGCTCTCCTAGCTACTTTCAAATATGAAATACAGTATTATTAATTACAGTCACCATGCTGTACATTATATATCCTCACGACTTTATCATTTTATAACTGGAAATTTGAAGAAAGTTACAAGGTTTAAAGTCCTTTTTATATTTCAAGATAATGGATTGATTCTGTTTGAAATTTGATACAAAGATTTGTGACTTAACTGAAGAGTTGAGACCTAAAGAACCAAGGATAGAGTTAGGCTTCCGAGCATAATAGCCAGAAAACTGGGTGACTAGGAGGACTCTGACCTAAAGTGTGGCCTGCATATAGACATACTTTCCTTTACGAAGGGTTGGAAGTCCCAGAGCAAATATGAGGACTGTTGGGGTCCACAGGCTTAGTTCACCCAGAGGGAGAATCTATATCTTCATCATGGAAGAACCTCAAGAGATATCTGCTATTTCATGGGTACTTGATTGTGGCTTTGTGGACACAGGGAAGGTTAGCTCTTACATCATCTAACTTCTATTGAGGTTTAATGGAAAGGGCCTAGGATCTCAAATCACGAAGTCTGTGTTCTGGTCTCAGCCCTGACTAAAGGCAGGGACCATATGTGAAGTCACTTGATCTCTCTGGGTTTCAATTTTTTTCCCTTCTTCTATAAAAAAAGGAAATTTCAACTCAAGTAAGTCTCCAGCTCTCAAATAATGCATTAAAAGTTACCTACTATCATTTTAGATCATCAACTCCATTGTAAACACTGATGCAAATTTAGGCATTGAAATCAGGTGGCATTTCTTGGTTTCAAGGTAGTTAGCCATATAAGTGCTTTACATTTTTTTGGTAGTATCTTCAAAACAAAAGCAACATTAAAATTTTCTTATATAGAAAGCAGTTGTGAATCTGACAACAGTAATAATAAAATATTGGATAAGGTGAATGTTTAGGAAAGATAAGGTGTCTGGAGATCAAGTTCTTTTAAGTATTTAGTTAATAGAGACTTGTCTCCCTTTGCAAAAATTTCATACTTTTTAGGGACTTAATCTTGTGTGAAATTTTCATTCTAAATGTAAAAGAAGTATTACTTGTAAAGAAAGAGTGGTGAATTTCTCTCTTCTTTTTTTTGAAAAGTGAGTTTTCTTACATTGAGATCTACTTATATTTGTACTGGTTCTCCCTATCAGATACAAACTTGTTGCTGATCCCTTGAGTTGGTTGTGGTGGTGGTCGATATTTTTTTCCTTGATGATTGCGGTATTTTTTCCCTTGATGATCGTATGATTGACAAAGTTGGCATCTCGGGTTTCACCCTACTATCTCTTACTGATTCTGCTCCCTCCTACCAAGTGGTACCTTCATTGCTTTATATTGTGTTTTTAATGATAGACATTGTAACAGGTATGAGATGATAACTCATTGTGGTTTTGATTCGAATTTCCCTATTGATTAGGGATGTTGAGCGCCTTTTCATCTACCCGTTGGCCATTTGTATGTCATCTTTGTGAACATGTCTCTTCAGCTTTCCTTGCCTTTTTTTTTTTTTTGGGTGCACCCAGCTTGCAGGATCTTAGTTCCCCAACCGGGGATTGAACCCAGGCCCCTGCAGTTGAAAGCACTGAGTCCTAAGCACTGTACCGCTAGGGAATTCCCCCCTTTTCCCTTTTTTTTTTTTTTTTTGCGGTACGCGGGCCTCTCACTTTTGTGGCCTCTACCGTTGTGGAGCACAGGCTCTGGACGCGCAGGCTCAGCGGCCATGGCTCACGGACCCAGCCGCTCTGCGGCATGTGGGATCTTCCCGGACAGGGGCATGAACCCGTGTCCCCTGCATCGGCAGGCGGACACTCAACCACTGCGCCACCAGGGAAGCCCCCCCTTTTCCCATTTTTTAAATTAGGTTATTAATTTTTTGGCTATTGAGTTGTATGAGTTTCTTATATGTTTTAGATAGTAACCCCTTATCAGAGGTTATATTTGCAAGTATTTTCTCCCATTGTGCAGGTTGCCCTTCATTTCATTTTGTTGATGGTTTCCTTTGATGTGCAGAAGCTTTTTAGTTTGTCATAGTCCCACTTGTTTATTTTTGCTTTTGATGCCTTTGCTTTTGGTGTCAAGGCCAAAAAAAAATCATTGTCAGGACCAGTGTCAAGGAGCTAACTCCCTATGTTTTCTTCTAGGAGTTTTATGGTTTCAGGTCTTCTGTTCAACTGTTTAAACTGTTTTGGGTTGATTTTTGTGTGTGGTGTAAGATAGTGGTCCAGTTTCATTCTTTGCACGTCCACTTTTCCCAACACCATTTATTAAAGAGACTATGCTTTTCCCATTGTATATTCTTGGCTTCTTTGTTAAAAATTAATTGACCATGTATGTGTGGGTTTATTTCTGGTTTCTGTGTAATTGATCTGTGTTTCTGTCTTTATGCAACTACCATACATACTGTTTTGATTACTGTAGCTTTGTAATATAGTTTGAAATAAGGAAGCATAGTGCCTCCAGCTTTGTTCTTCTTTCTCAAGATTGCTTTGGCTGTTTGGGGTCTTTTCTGGTTTTATACACATTTTAGGTTGTTTGTTCTATTTCTGTGAATAATGTCATTGCAATTTTGATATGGATTGCATTGAATCTGTAAATTGCTTTGGGTAGCATAGACATTTTAAAAATATAAATTCTTCTGATCCACAAACATGAGATATGTTTTCATTTATTTGTGTCTTCAGTTTCTTTCATCAGTGTCTTACTAAAGTTTTCAGTGTACTTTTTTCCCCCCTGTATATTCGTTCTGGTGGCCTATCTCCCTTTTCTTGCTGGGGCAACAAATATCATATATCCATAGCCTAGTTTTTCAGAGATTTTAATGAAGGTGACGGGATGCTGTTGACTTAATTTCTGGAGTAATGACATGGATTACTGTCATATTGCTGAAAAGTATCTTCCCAATCTTTGTTTTCCTTTGCAAAATAGAATCAAATCTTAGAGTCAGAAAGGATCTAAGAATTTTTTTTAAGTTTCTTTTATTGTGATTGAGCAGGCATGTTTGCCTAGGTAGAGTGGGAATAAGAAACAGGCTGTCATGTCTTGTGCCTTGGTATTTTTTTAAGCTTCCTGTGCCCAAATTTTGAAAGTCCCTATTTCAGATAAATAAGAGTTGTTTTCATTTCAGTGTTTATACAGTTGTTGATACCAACAACAACAACAGAAAAAAAGGCAAAATGATTTGAGAGCTCAGAATATGGTGGATTCTCTGAATAGGTATTTGTTCCTCTCCAACAGTAACCCAGATCTATAAAGTTTAATGTTCTAATAGAAGGATTTACTTGAAGGGAAGATAACTTAAATATGTGAAATCTATGAAAAAAGTTCATGTATCCAGCATCAATCATTATTAGTTTGTGACTGTTCTTGAGAAACATTTTTAATCTTGGTAATAATTTTTAGGCTTTGTATAACTACAAAATAAATCTAGTCATATTCTAAACGACTTAATGGAAGCACTTTCATTTTTCTGCAGTGTTTCCTGAGGTTATAGGCGGGTGTTTGAGGAGTACATGCGGGTTATTAGCCAGCGGTACCCGGACATCCGCATTGAAGGAGAGAATTACCTCCCTCAACCAATATATAGGTAAGTAAATTCCTGTAGTTTATAAATGAATTTTTTAAGTGAATTCTATCACATTTGTAAATAAACTTTTGTGAATTGGTTCAATTAACTTTCCTTGGTTATTATAATTTCTTAGTTGGTTATAATTTACAGAGAACAGTTTTATAAATGGCAAGTTTATTTGATCCAAATATGGAAGAATTTTTCTCTAACAAGGAATAGAGGAAGATCACTTCAGAGATGGCAACCCTTCTAAAGATGTGTTTTCTTATGTAATTTTTATTGTGGCCGTAGATCAAGAACTCCTACAATTTTTTTTTTTTTTTTTTTTTTTTTTTTTTTTTTGCGATACGTGGGCCTCTCACTGTTGTGGCCTCTCCCGTTGCGCAGCACAGGCTCCGGACACGCAGGCTGAACGGCCATGGCTCACGGGCCCAGCCGCTCTGCGGCATGTGGGATCTTCCCAGACCAGGGTACGAACCCGTGTCCCCTGCATCGGCAGGCAGATCTCAACCACTGCGCCACCAGGGAAGCCCAAGAACTCATACATTTTTATAGAAAGTCAGTGGTACAAAATTCTGTACTGTTAAAATAGTATTTACTATTTTAAATAGTGTTTTAAAATAGTATTTGCTCTATAGTTTTATATATTAATTTTTGATTGATTCAGAAGATGTTAAACATTTTTGTTTTAAACCTGCACAATAAAATTTAGTTACTGGTTTTTTCCTGGTATAATTGGCAATTTTTAGATTTGGTGTGTAGAAAATGTCTATACACATAGACTTGAGTTAAAGAAATTTTGAAGTAGATGAGAAATTGCAGCTTCTGATGAATTTCCTTCTTTTCTTTTAATAGACACATAGCATCTTTCCTGTCAGTCTTCAAGCTAGTGTTAATAGGCTTAATAATTGTTGGCAAGGATCCTTTTGCTTTCTTTGGCATGCAAGCGCCTAGCATCTGGCAGTGGGGCCAAGAAAACAAGGTATGTAATGTAATAGCTTTGGTAGCTGTAGGTTCTTAGTTGTCAGTGAGATTTGTTAATGGATTCTTCTTCTTTCTTTCTTTTTTTTTTTTTTAAGTACTTTTTGCTATTTCAACTTAAACCACTTTTTATTTCTGGGCAAAGCACTTAACCTCCTTTAGCCTTAGTCTCCATATTTATACATTAAGAATGATTAGGTCTTACCTTTTTATTATTTGAAGGACAGAGAGGTGTTACTTTAGTAGAACCTGGGCACAAAATAATTTAATACCTAATTTTGATTATATAAGTTGGGCCAAATCATACAGCAAAACATAATATATACATAATGTAGGCCTTTTATACCAACTAATATGGGTATTAATAGGTTTATTCGTGTTAAAAATGGGATTTCTACCAATTTATTCTTATCAAAATTCTGTTTTTATTATTTGTTCTTTGACTTTTCTGTTCATGGGTAACCTAAAGCAGATTACCTGAAACAATCAATATAAATATACATAAGAATCTTGTGCTGTTTATTTTATTCTTTGGTAGGGTCTTGCTGCATCATATACTCTTTCCAGATCTCTCATCTGTTTTACTTAAAACCATCTTTTCTGGAGGGTCTACCTTTCTGCTGTGAGAAATGGGAATAATTTCTCTTGAATGAGACTGCTTAGGTTTCCTTCTAATAAGTATTCTCTTTTGGAGTCCTCTGTCTGGTCTTATCCTTTAGTTCTAGGCTGAGACTACCTTTAGCCAACTCCTAACATAGCTCTACTTCTTTTTCTTAGGGAGTCACTTATTTCCAGTCACAGGCAAGGCTTCTTAACATGAACATCCTCAGGTGCTACCTCTAATTCAGATGTATCTCTACTCTGTTATTAACAAAATATTGATTTACATAGGATTAAGAATTAGAAATTAAGTACTTACTGATAATGTTTTGTGCTATATTTGTTGATTCTAAATTGTCTTTAGTGCATTTTACTTCTTTAGACTTATAACATTGTCAATCTCCTGTGGAAGAGGATGCTTGAAGGCTGTAGCTTTCGTGACACTTAACTTGTGTATTGTTCTCATGAAAGTAGACTTTGTGCCCAAATGCTAGGATAACTTCTGTGAAATCAAAGCCTACCTAGCTCAGGTGGGGTTAGGGGAAATCTCCTTCTCGTCTGCTATAGGCATTTTGATTAATTTTTCTGAAACAGCTGGCTGTGAATTGACATCCTCACTACATCCTGCTTTTAGGTGATTTTGTTAAATTGAAACTTTTCTGTTCAACAGGAGCCTCTGATCTTTTGGGACAGTATAGATTTGCCTTCAAAAGGTGAATGAATGTAACTTAATATGCTAGTGCTTTCTAACCTACTTTTTTTTAGTTTGACTTAAAATGATTTGTTTGGAACACGGACAGGTTGTGTTGAATACATGGAGTTGCTGATTATTGCATCACTAGTCTCTTGTGAGTTCATACATTATATTATAAAAATTCTAAAATGAACCCTTCTTATGCTGGTATTCTTTTGTTTAACTTATTAAGGCTATTATGAGATTTCTAGAAATTTTATCTTTACATTAGGAGTAACATGTAATTTCTTCCGAATGTATAGAGCTGTGAATTAATGTTGCAATTTTCTGTGTACACTATCTGAATATATGGAGTAGCAGTAATAATTTGTATAGAACCTTAAAGTAGATTTAAAAACAGCAATTACCAAATAAAAATGAGACTATTTAAAAGCTTACTTAATTTGTGATGTTGTTTTGATTTGAAAATGACTTTACCTATTGTACTTAATTGTATTTTCTTTTAGGTCTATGCATGTATGATGGTCTTTTTCTTGAGCAACATGATTGAGAACCAGTGTATGTCAACAGGTGCATTTGAGATAACTTTGAATGGTAGGTCCTGAATAGTTTGCATTCTGTGATAAATGTTAAATGACTTATAAGCATCAGGCTTTTCCATTTTTCATAATATGCTAAATTATCTCTTTACGTGGTCCTCACCTACTCCCATGGCTTTAGAATAACATCTATATGATGACCCTTAAATGTATAGCTCTGGAGAGCTCTAGACCTCTCTTCTAGGTGTTATAGCCAGGAATCCTGAACATTACCTACTCCCAAACTGTTGATAACCTCAACTTCCTGCAATTCTTTTATATTCCAGTTTGCTCCTTCCCTGACATTTCTCACTTATTTAAGGGCACCATTATCATTCTACCCAGTTGCCCATGTCAGAAACCTAGGATAATATCCTAGGTTTTTCCCTTACTCTCCATATCTAATGGATTACCAATTTTTCTCAGTTCTTTTTTTTTTTGCGGTACACGGGCCTCTCACTGTTGTGGCCTCTCCCGTTGCGGAGCACAGGCTCCGGACGCGCAGGCTCAGCGGCCATGGCTCACGGGCCCAGCCGCTCCGCGGCACGTGGGATCTTCCCGGACTGGGGCACGAACCCGTGTCCCCTGCATCGGCAGGCGGACTCTCAACCACTGCGCCACCAGGGAAGCCCCTCAATTCTACTTTTTACAGTTTTCAAAAATGTTCTATTTATCTTCATTGCTAACCACCCTAATCCAAGCCACAATTATCTTGCTATCCTCTAACATATTCTCTAAACCAGAGGTTGGCAAATATGGCCTATGAGCTAACAGTGGCTTTACAATTTTAAAATTTCTTTATATTAAAATTTTTTTTATTCAAGTATAGTTTATTTATAATATCATGTAGGTTTCAGGTATTCAGCACAGTGATTCAGATTCTTTTCAGGTTCTTTTCCCTTATAGGTTACTACATAATATTGAGTATAGTTCCCTGTGCTGTATATAGTAGGTCCTTGTTGGTTATTTATTTTATAGAAAGCAGTATGTATATGTTAATCCCAGCCTCCTAATTTATTCTTCTTCCCACTCCCCTTTCCCCTTTGGTAACCATAAGTTTGTTTTCTGTGTCTGTGAGTCTCTTTCTGTTTTGGAAATAAGTTCATTTGTGTCTTTATTTTTTAAGATTCCACGTATAAGCGATATCATATGATATTTGTCTTTCTCTGTCTGTCTTACTTCACTTAGTACGATAATCTCTAGGTACATCCATCTTGCTTGGTGGCTCTTACTTTTTTTTTTTGGCCAAGCCACGCAGCTTTCTTGATCTTAGTTCCCCGACCAGGGATTGAACCTGGGCTCCAGCAGTGAAAGCACCAAGTCCTAACCACTGGACCGCCAGGGAATTTCCTCTTATATTTTTTAATGGCTAAAGAAATCAAAAATACTTTGTGATGTGGAAATGTGACATTCAGACTTCAGTATTCATACCTAGAGTTTCATCACTGAAAGATTTGTGGAAATATATCTCCCTGGTTTTATAAGTACCTATATGGTATCCTTGATTTTGCCTCTTGGTATGTAAAGCCTGAAATATATACGATCTGGCTTCTTACAGAAAAATTTGCTGACACCTGCTCCAACACTTGAGTCATTTAAAAGAAAATTTTTTTAATGCACATTTCATCTTCTTGCTTCACTCCCTCAAATTTATCAAATGGTTTTATTTTGTTCTCAAGATAAAGACCAGAACATTTAACATGGACAAAAGGCCCTGAATGATGTAGCCTGGGCATGGGCAAACCATAGCCTTGTGGACCATGTCCTCTGCTACCTGCTTGGTGAATAAAGTTTTATTGGAACACAGCCATGCCCATTCATTTATCTGCTTTCAGGCTACAATGAATGTTAAGTAGCTGGGACAGACTATACATCTTCTTGAGCTGAAAATGCTTACTTTATAGTTTCTTGATCCTTGATCTAATCCCTGCCAGCCTTTCCAGCCTCCCTTGTACCACTCTTCTATATTTCAGCTTTCACGTTTAATAATATCTCCCAATTTTAATAATCTCGCTCTTTTAATGATAGTAAGTACAAAGGCTCCTTCCCAGCCTCTCATATGTCCCTCTCATAGCATCTTCTAGTTTTGATTTTTAGTATACAAATGTGATTTTGTAGCTATTTATATAGTTCTTTTTATATTTCCCCTACTAGAATGTAAACTCCATGAAAGCAAGAAGCTGAATTTTATCTCCAGCTGTGTGCATAGACAATACATGTTTATAGAATGAATGTCTATTATAGAATCATCTTTAATGTGGAAGGGGTGGTACCATTTATTTTTATAGATGTACCTGTGTGGTCCAAGCTGGAATCTGGTCACCTTCCATCCATGCAACAGCTTGTTCAAATTCTTGACAATGAAATGAAGCTCAATGTGCATATGGATTCAATCCCACACCATCGATCATAGCCCCACCTATCAGCACTGAAAACTCTTCTGTAAGTAGTTTAAAAATACAGTAACTATGTATAGGTATCAGTTAATTGTCATGAATCAGCAAGATATTTCATATATTAGCATAATAGATATAGATATATATAATAATAGATATTGCATACATTGTCAATTGAGTTTCCAACTTAAGATTTAACAGATGGTTGTCTTCTTCATTAAAATTTATAAATGACCAAGAGTGTTTGGATCTGCTAAAATAAAGTAAGGTTGTACTATTAATTTTATGTTTAAGGCTTAATAATTGAGCCTGTAACATCATTTTTTTGACTTGTGAACTTCTAATGGCCCGAATTCATATACTGTACATATATTGTACATATTATATACCCTCCCCTTACCTTCAAATAACTAGTTCCTAAAACTATGCAAATTCTTTTCACATGCTCAAGATAGAAAATTTATAAGCAAATGTGGGTGAACATAGAGAGGTGAAAGTTAGTTAATTTTGTTTAACAGAGATGTTCTCAGTTCTTTTCTGATCAATGAGTGGATTTTACAAGAGTGAATTTTGAAACAAAATATTTTTTCTGTGTGTCTTTCAGACATTAAGGGATTTTTGCAAGAGCAGCGTGACTGACATTATGAAGGCCTGTACTGAAGACAGCAAGCTGTTAGTACAGACCAGATGCTTTCTTGGCAGGCTCGTTGTACCTCTTGGAAAACCTCAATGCAAGGCAGTTTTTCAGTGCTGGCACATTTTGGAATTCTGCACATTCGTGGAGTGCAATAATACTGTATAGTTTTTTTTTTCTTCCCCAAGTCCACTCGGTTAATAGTTTTTTTAAAATATGCAGACATTACTACTTGCACTTCTTTTTTCTCGGTCATATATGAAAAAGTAGAAAATTGAGTTGCAATTTGATTTTTTTTTCAAAGATGTCTGTTAAGTCTGTTGTGATTTTATATGAATTTTCCTTTTTTATAGTTTAAAATTGATCCTTTTGGGACTAGAGCTGTAGTTCCCAAATAATTTATAAGAGTTTAGCAGACATCTCTAATTTGGTCATGTCCAATTTATATAGTTTTCAAAATACTGCAGATTGTGAACAGCACATTATATAAGATTTTTTGGGGAAATCCTATATCCAGAGTACTCTACCAATTTGTGTATGTGTGTGTGTGCGTGTGTGATTACCAGAGAACTACTAAAAGACCAACCACTTTTTAAATCCTGTTAATGTAGTTCAAGTGTCCTGCCTTGACCAATTTAATGAGTTGATTAACTGGGCCTTTATACTTAACTCAATAAAAAACTAAGCAGATGTAAGTTAAATAAAAAGTTTGAGTTTATTGCCCAGCGTACCTATTAACATTATATTTAACAGTTGTCTGCAAAGTTTTGTTTTTGACTCACAGAAATTTCCTATGGGACATACTTTAGATTCACACACAAATAATAGGTCATTTACCATTTTTAGGATAATTGAAACTTGCCTCACTAAAGAAAGGTTAGTTGAACCTCTTTACAACATTAATATTAGGTAAATGGAGATCACTTGTCTAATAATTTAACTTGTCTAACATCATATCAGAATTTTATTATATTTGAGGGACAAAATTGAAAAGATTTTATTCAGTGAATTTAATATCTTTCCAGAGTTCTAAAAGGTAGTTTTTTTTAAAAGCTTAAATTGATAAAGACTATTAGAGTAATTTAGCAGAAATAGGACCATAATGTAGAAAAACAGTCATATAGCAACAGTCATAACATACTTCATCTTCCCTGTAGGAATAAAAGTGTTAGGTCTAGATTTGTTAGTGGAAGTAAAGGGATTTATGGAAAAGTAATGAGATAATTCAATATTGAGTCCACCAAACACTTAGCACAATCTTATAATTCATTTGTCAGTGAATATTTGTTGAAATGCATGTCTGGTAATTATGATTGTGACAGCCTCAAGGTGGAACATACTGTAGTCTGTAGCTGAAAAGAAGTTAGCCTAATAATTCACTGCAGAAAATTGATTAAAATGGCTTATTTTAATTAAGGCTGCAGAACTGTTAACCTAAGATCGTACAGTAGCCAGAGTCTATACAATTTAAGCTAGAGGTTACTTAGAGATTGTTATTCAGCTGTAGTAACGTTTTGTTATCTTTGACTAGAGCTTAAAACTTTGTTAACTTGATTTGTACCAGCCCAAACTTCCTTCTGCAGGTTGAACACACTGCTGAGTGTGTGTAGGGTCTTTCTTCAGTGACAGACATTCCACCAGTGACAGTTAACCTTTTGACATTTAGACCTTCCAAACTTGTCTTGGATAGTCCCATGTATCTTACAGGCCAACCATGAAGAATTTAAGATTTAATTCTAATTTTTTCCATGTTTGCCTTGGGTGAATAACTTATCCTTTGGAGAATAGCTTTAAGTGGCTAGGTCATTGATAAAACTCAACTATTTTGTTCACACCCATTTCAGTATTATTTTATGGCCATATTTAAATCTAAGATTTAATGTAGTCTAGTGAAAAAATTAGTGGAAAGTGTGAATGTAAAAAAAGAAAAACATGAAAAAATGGAAAGTTAGAAAGCTATTTAGAATGTGGCTTTATTATATTCCTAACATTTCAGAATTTATTACATAGTTGCTTACAAATTGGTGTGGTTGTGTAGTTTATAAATGTTTATGTACTCTGTTAATTGCAAGACCATAGAACATGACAGCAGGTTGGCTACTGTTATTGGGGTTTTTTACCATAGTTGCTGTTGTGGAAGAGATTACATGTTAGATTAATTTAAAAATGTTGGCAAAACATGGCTTTATACCTCAGCATCAAAATGTGCAAGACACATATGCTTTCAGAATATAAATGCATTATTAACTTAAAGCACTAAGATCAATGGCAGCAGTTGATCAACCTTTACCACTATCAAAACATAACAGGATCCTAATGATGATTCTTATTTTGAATGTTATTAGCTGGGGACCTTGATTGGTTGGCATTTTATTGTCATGATTTTAACTAATTTAGATGAAAAAGAAAGAGCCTAAAGAATTTTAAAGCATGATTTAATATTTCATACTAAGACTTTAAAAAATATTTTTTGAGAGAAACATGAGGAATTGTAGAGTCTGGGGGCTTTAAAGCATTGTAAAAATAAACTTTTATTAAGCTGATATGAAAGGAACCCCTCCTTTCTGGAACTGAATCTGTGCTAGAGCACTTTATATGATAACTGTATTTAGGAAATTTTATGTTGTAAAAATTGTTGTCATCAAGTAATGTTTTCTAATGGTTTCTTAACCCAACCAGTGCTACACCCCCTCTCCCCCTCCCAGTCTGGCACTCCCAGTATTACCACTCTGGGACCTTAAACTACTTCTTGAGCCTTATGGTCCAGTTTCGTGTGCTTCAGTGTTACCTGAAATTTCAACAGTTCTGTGGTGTGTTCTGTGCTGGGGTGGAGCAAAGAGGAGCAGTTTACATTATTGACCTTCTTTACCCCCAGCCTCCAGAATCCCTGAGAAAAGTCATACTAGCATCCCAAAATCTGGATAGAAATAAGATGAGGACTTCTCTTGACTGATATAGACAGTTTAACAATCTCAGAAGAGAGAGCAAAAATTCAGATATTTTTCTTAAATCCAGCTGAGCCTTTTCCCTCACAGTCCCAGGCTCCTTTTCCCTAGGCTTAAAAAAGCAAATAGAAGCAGACCCAGATCTGAACTGTATCTTGAAGAAAAATTGAAATTGGTCTCATGTACAGTGGGAAGAGTGTTAAGTCACCCATTCTTTGTCAAGGCTTGTAGAATGTCTTCTGTTGCTTTTGTTAAGCATGAGCAAAATAAAAAGAAACAACATGATATCTAGGCAAACGTGTAACAGTAGTGGTTTTAAAAGTTTAGTGTGCCTAAGAATCATTAGGATAAATTACTGGATCCCATCCCTAGAGATTCTGATTCATTTGGTCTGAGAGGGGTCCATATAATTTGCACTTTAGCCCAGCTTCCAGATAATGCTGATGCTGTCAGTGTGAGGTACACACTGAGGAGCACTGCACCATCACAGGTCAGAGTGCAAAAGACTCAGGACACTCTGGAAGGAAATATAGGTCATGGAACAGAAGAAAATTTTGCATATTTGCTTCACATTTATGGAATGACTTAATAACAACAAGAAATTCAGTAAAATGAGAACCCAAAAGAAACAGAAAGAGATGAGAGGGAGATTGTTTCCAAGAAAACAAATTGAGGACTTAATTGTCCCAATTAATCTGTTTTATCAGTGCAACATATTTGTTATCCTTTGTTGGGTTAGTATGTTAAAACTTTTGGGGTGGGTATTTTAAAAGGAAATGTTAAATCTTTGAGTATAAAATAACTGATTTGAATTGCCAGGTTTTCTCAAAGTGGGCAACATGCCTGCATTAATCTTTATAATGACAACTGATCTTGATTTTCACGTCAAACAAATTATTTAAATTCTTACTGTTCTCAGTAGGGAAAATGCATACTTTTAGTTTTATTTTAGTAACCATAATAGAATTCTTTATATCACTGGGGAAATCCAATCTGAACTTAATTAAGCCCCCCAAAAGTAAAGGATTTACTTTCACTTAACTGAAAAATCCAAGGTAAAGTTGGCCTCATTTCTCCATGAGCCTCCACCATAATTGGGGAGAGGATTGTGGGGGGCTGGGGAGGATGGGAGAGGAATGAGAACATTGATAAAGTCCTAGAAAGCACTTTGGTGTAACTTGGGGTTACATTCGTATCTTTGGATTCTGTTTCTCACTTGATATCCACGAATAATTTTGTCATGTTCTTCCTTTTCTCTAATTATTGACTTTACTCCCTCCACCCAACCTCCTTCCTATTCAGGATCATAACTGTTTAAGACAAGTTTATGGCTTTGTGGTTATAAGCTGCTGAGACCAAGTGCTTAGCTATCTGGGAATTATCAGGAGCCAGCCCTGGGTCGCTTGGCTTGGTTAGTAAAGTGTTAGAACCTGGCAGG